GAAAATGTGTTATGATGGTAAATATTAAATCTGTTAACACAAATACAATATATATGCTACTGTATATATTTGTTTTTCTTCAAATACTATTAATTTTTTAATATGTTTATGCTTATACATGGCATTGATGACCTAACTATCGCCAAACTGTATAAAAATAAGTGATTAGTTCGACACATTTACAGAAAACAAAAATAATTAAAAATATTATATTAATAAAACGTTAGAGTAACAACATAGAGTTAGAACAACATCAATCCGCAAAGATATTCTGGAGAATGAACTATTTAAATAAATTTTAGATAATTGGAGATTTCAATCTCGATATAATTGACAAAAAACTTTTTTTTTGGATTGTGACTTAATTCATTTATTAATATTATTAAAAACCCCACATATATGCAGATCCTAAATCTACTATTACATATTTTGCATAATTAACTAGATTAGGACCCAAGGATTTATAATAACAAAAATTTTAATTAATTAAAATATTTTTTTAAAAAAAAATAGAAAATAAAATTGAATTACTGATAATAAAATATATATTAAAAACAAAAAAATCTAAATCTAAAAATTATTTATTTTAATTCTCAGTTGTTTTCAATTAAAATTTATTTTAACAGGGCTGTTTGTTTCCTTTCTTAATTGTGTATTCCTTATAATTTCTGATCGATTCTGCGTTATATATAACTAGATTAGGACCCGTGTATACAAAAATTTTTAAAATTATTTTAAAAATTGTAAATAATAATTTAATAAACAATTAAAAGCTTTAATTATATTAATATATGTATTCATATTTGACTTTTTATTAGTTAAAATATTTATTACACGTGGTAAATTTTGATTAATTAACTCATAGATATTTTAATCATTTTAGCTTAGACTATGATTTCTATATATACTGATTTATAGTAATTATTACATAACCCGTTAAAAAGAAAGTGAATATGAAAAAGTAAAAAATTAAATTAAATTATTGTGAACATTAAAAATTAAGACTGAGAACATTTTTGTAAAACTATTTATAATAGAACTGACCAAAAAACTGGTTTTTTTGTTTTGATTCATGTTTAATTTTATATTTTTTACCAATATGAATAACATGAAAAAATATAAAATAAAATTAGATCATTGTGAACATTAAAAAAAAAGTAAGAAGCATCCAAAAGATATGTATACTTATATATAATCGAGACAGAACTACAGAAGTTTCTCCACTCCTTTTTCTCTTGGGATTAGGGTTATAACTAAGCCAAATGAAAATAATATTTGAATAGGATATAGTATATATATACAGTATATATATACTTTTAAACGATATCGCCAAAACAAATGACTCTCTGCTTGCTCCCTAAATATCTGGAATCTGATAGTCCATGTTGCTATTGTAATAAGTAGTAACCCAGAACTGTTATTATTATTTATTTCAAAAGCCCTTGATAACTTATAAAAAGAATTATGACTCAGATAATCAGAATTCAAAGACAAGCTTCATGCCCTAATCCCAATTGAAGAAAAAGTCGACAAGCTTCAATATATACAAAGTTTACAAACACAAACTTCTATCATCAGGCTTTAACTTTAAAAAAAAAAACCTAATTGATTGCTCCAACAATGTCTCTGGCCATAAAATTCTTCCTCCTCTTCCTTTTGGTTGAATCATCAACAGCAAAACATATGCATGAACCGTTTGCTGACCAAAAAGAAAATAATCAATCAGAGATTGACTATTTCAAGATTTTCAGAGAGATAATTGCAGGATGGCAACGAGAAGAAGACGAGAAATACTCACTTTAGACAAAGTTCAAGGTTAAGTTGAGCTTTGGGGCGAGTGGAAGAATCATACGGGATACCCACACGGTGACTTGCGGAACAAGATTCATGGTAACTTGTGGCCAACGCTGTATGATTATTGTCGTCAATCTGAGAGTACAGAACTCTTGATGTCTCTTATATATGGCCTTCGTGCAGAAGCTGGTATAGTCTATATTTTAATTCCTTAGTTTGTTTGTTTTTTTCCTTCAGAAGTGTTTTCGTTTTCAAATAATGAATAAATTCAATGCAGAGCATTCGGTTTGAATAAGAATTAGTGAAAATTATTGAAATGAGTTTACGTAAACACCTTCGGTCTAGCTCTCACTACACTAATGATGTTGGCTATCTTAACTATTATTTCAGAAGCATGTTTAATAAAAAAATCAGATGTGTCATCACCTTAGCAAAAGTTAGTGCAAAACAATGACACCTCATAAATGTGACATATCAAATTTCCTAAAAAAAAAATATTTTGATTGGTTAAGTTAAAAATAAATAAATCTTGTTTTTAAATAAGAAAAAATTATATCATATATAAATCAATTCTCATTATATAGCAAGAATTCAAAATTATAAATGAAACAAAAAATAAACATATAAAAAATAAATTATAAGTATCATGTTAGGTAATTTTTTATTTATTATAATATAATATATATGAATAAAAAGTAGAAGTAAAAGTAAAAATAAATCTTTACGACTTTGGTTTCATATAAAAATCTCAGGCTATATTTTTGGTTTAAAGCATCTTCAAACCACCTTTATTTTAAAATCTTCTAAAAGGTTGTTATTTTTTTCTCCAATTATAGAGGAAAAAATAACATTCTTCTTTTTTCTGTAAAATATAAATAGAGTGGAGAAAGGACCACTTATATTTTAGAGGAAAAATAGACAAATACATTAGAGATGATCTTAATGTTTAATATATTATTAAATGTTAAGAAAAAAAGTATGAGTCAAAGAAGACAAAAAATAAATAAGAATAATTTTGATCGATTTTAAGTTTTTATTTGAAATATTTAAAAATATTATCTTACACATATTAATTCTTTAATGCATATATTTTCATAACATATTATAACATTATTTCTTGAATCAAGTTTTGTATATGTTTTGATCCATTATATTTTATATTAAAAATATATTAAAGTTAGAAGCAGATCAACTCTTAATTTTTAATAATAATTAAATATTAAATATATTATTTTACACTTTAAATCATACACATATAAGTTTAGATGTGATTGGTTTAAAATATTTGGTTGCAGAGAGTTTGTAGAAACGAACGATTGCGGATTATAAAAAAATTGACGAAGAGATGAGCGGAGCGATACCCGAGAATTTTGATAAAATATAATTTCAAAAATTTTATAATAAATTTTTATTATATTTTTATTGAGAAACCATATATCATCAAACACTGGAAAATAAGAAACTTTGATTAAATATAAAACAATAGAAATGGTTTTCGTGATTATTGTTAAACACCAATAACTGCATCGTCTAAAAACATAATGTTTCCAGAAAGTACCAGAAAAGACTTACCAACACCTAAATATTACAATTAACCTATTTCTAACTCATATACTTAATATTTTTTGTTTTATAAAAAATCAACCATTGAATATAAAAATATATATTACAAAACATATACTTTGTTATTTTCTTTTTACACATAAAAGCCGTACTGCGATTTTCTTAGAAATATGAGTGTAGATATAAATATTAATTATGCAAAAGTCAAACTCGTATGCAAACTTTTCGTGCATACATTTTCTTAACAACGATTACACTCTAATTTTAATTTTAGTTGTTAGACAATTTCTATTTAAAAAAAAAATCTTTATATGTCCTAAGAGCGGTGAGGTGGTTGGTTCGCACGAATATGCAGACCAACCATCTACTCGCTCTTAGAATAAATATGGTAGAATTCATTTTGGTTTAATTAGCAATAGGTCAAGAAAAAATATATATTTAACATATGTTTATTGGCAAGATTATATTACGTAAAGTGAAAAAAAAAGTATTATATAAATAATATTTAAAACATATTACAAAAGTTTAATTATTATTTAATGTAACGTTTACATTTGCAATTATATGTTATTGTAAACGCTAGGAAACATAAAAAGTTTTCAAAAGATACAAAACGATATGAAACATTTGTGTGATTGTTGTTGAACACTAAAATTGTATATGTATAAAAACATAACATTTACATAATCTATAAAAAAAATAATCAATACTTAAATATTACAACTAATTATGTCTATCAAAAAAATTACACTTGCACATGCGTGCGGACCAAAAATAAAAATTAAATAAATTATTATATGTTTCAATGTTTTTCCGTTTATATAGTTATCATACTTACATTTTTTAGCCAAAGAAATATTTGAAAATCTTAGTTAATATTTTGTATCTTCATTTTCTATTGATATATAATATTTTATAATTAATTTATCATTTTTATCATCAAATGTTTATTATTTTATTATTAACATATAATTAATTATATATAAATAAAACATCTTCGATACTATATTAATCATAATTGAATATATAGAAAGTTTTATTGCCTGCACACGGTGTAGGCCGATCACCTAGTACTATTTTAACAAAACATTTCAAAGGAAGCAATAAATGCTAGCAAAAGACTAAAACATTTGGTAACATTAACGTTTGGGAAAATTTTAATCGATTCTTAGTAAAACAAGTTTACACGATGCTTAAAAATATGTTTAGATTGTAAATTAAAATTTTTATTATGTATTAACTGATAATTCTGTAAAAAAACCTCATTTTTCAAAGTTTTTAGGTTTTCTTTTCTTAGAAATCTTCTTTAGTTCTCATTTATAAAACAACTTTGTTTATAGGTAAATGTCAACCCTTAATTTATTTCAAACCAGTAGTAACATATCATTACTAATTTCTAATTTTACATGGATTTTAATTTGGTAACATTAATGTTTAGATAAACTTTAACCAGTTCTTGACTTCTTGTTAAAGCAGCTCTCTACAAATTAACGCTTGAGTATAAATTTTATTCTGTTTTGGGAAACATCTATGAAAATAACAACAAATTAAAAACTCTATTGAGCAATGACTGATAATTTTTCTAAAAATAATCTTGCTCATTTACCCTCTTCTGTCAGTAGAGATGTGTTTACCATTTTTTTCTAGGAGACTCTCTTCACGCAGTAAAGAAGAATTTTAATTCTAAGACCTCTCTATTAATAGGTTCGTGTCAAACTCTAATTTATTTCAAACTGATAGTGATACAATTAGTATTAGGAAAACTTCAATCGGTTCTTGTTAGAAGAGCACTACAGACGATGCTTTAATAAATAATTTATTCTATTCGAAAGAAAATGAAGAAGACTAATTAAATTAAAAAAAATAAGAAGATGAATAATATGGTAACGATGAAGAAAAACAAGAAATATATGAATACAAAGTCGGGAAAAAACTAGAAAAAGAAAACAGTAGGATTAAGTAGAAAAAACTGAATATGAATAAGACAAAGTATAAGAGTGTAGATAAAAACTGAAAAAATAAAAAGTCGGAGAAAATAAAAATAATAAAATATATATACAAGTGGATAGAAAAAGAAGAAGATGAATAAAATTAGAAAAATAAGAAGATGGATAATACAATAACAATGAAGAAAAAGAAGAAGAATATGAGTAAGAAATCGGGAAAAAAGAAGAAAAAGAAAACAGTAGGATGAAGTAGAAGAAAAAAAAACTGAAATATGAGTAACATAAAGTAGAAGAACGTAAATAAAAACTGTAAGAATAAGAAATCAGAGAAAATAAAGATAATAAAATATAAATGGGTATAAAAAGAAGAAGATGAAGTTGTAGTATATGAAGACGATGGAGAATGCAAAACGTGAGAGAAGGAAGAAGAAAAAAATTGAAAGATTTAGAAGAGAAAGAAGAAGAGGTAAAAAAAAAAACGAATAAGAAGACGTAGACAAGTTTTTAAAAATTAATAAAAAATGGAAGAAAATAAAGAAGACAAATGATAAAGATGATGAAGAAGATGAAGTAGAAAAACATAAGAGAGTTGGAGAATAATAAAAACCGGAAGAAAAAGAAAAATAAATACAGTGGAGAATGAAGAAAATCAAAGTAGGAAAAAGATTAGACGAGAAAAAATGGCAAAGTAAATTGTTGGGAGATTGAAGAAACTAAGAAGGAGAGGGAAGAAGAAAAAAACCATCAAATAACAAGAAGTAGAAATGAGATGAAAATGATAAAAAGGAAGAGAATGTGAAAAAAATAATCAAAAGATAGAGAAGAGAAAGAAGAAAATGAAGTTGGTAAAAAAAAGTTTGGAAAAAAATGAGAACGGAAAAAATACAAAGTAGAATTTTTTTTGAAAAATATAAATGAAACGAAGAAAAGGAAGAAGTAAAAGAAAATTTTAAAAAGTGAAGAAATAGAAAAAGAAGAAAAAAGTCTGAGGAGATGACGAATGTGAAGAAGATGAAGAAGAAGAAAACTGAAAGACATGAGAAAACAAATTAAGTAGGAATATATGAGTTATTATATAAGAATTGTAAAAGGAAATAAAAGAGATTATTGAATCTATTAAGGTATTTATTTGTATCGATTTAGAAATACCTCTCTTTTTGAATATTTAAATTCAATTTTTATATATATTGGATATACAAATTTGGTGTGAAAGTTAGAAAGTGTGTTATAACTGCAAATGCTAAATCTGTTAAAACAAATATAATATGATACTATATACATGTTACTGTACATATTTGTTTTTCTTCAAATGCTATTGATAGCGATTTATTCGACACACTTACAGAAAACAAAAATAAAATAAAATTAGTGTATTAATAAAAGATTAGAGTAACAACATAGAGTTAGAACAACATCAATCCGCAAAGCTATTTCAGAGATTGAAATATTTAGATAACTTTTAGATAATCGGAGATAACAAAAAAAACTTATTTCTTGAACTTTGACTTTATTCATTTATCAATATTATTAAAACCTCACATATATGCAGGTTCAAATCTACTATTATATGTTTTGTATAATTAACTAGATTAGGACCCACAAATTTATAATAACAAAAAGTTAAAAATATGAATGTAAAAGAAGAGGTAGCCTAAACAATGGCTGAAAAACAAGTATATATAGGTTTAGGCACGAATTGGATGAGAAATTATCGAAAACCAAGTCGGAAAAGGAAAAATCCGCAAGTTTTCTTACTTTATGTATGACCAAACTGGTTGGTTAAGGCTTTGGATCGATCGATCTAAATCTTCTTTGGAGATTCGTGGTCTCTCGGATCGATTGATCCCTCCTGGATCAATCGATCTAAAATGTTTCGGGTAAATCTTCAATCATCGGATCAATCGATCCAACAAGAGACCGATCGATCTATGCTCCGAAAAAAACCAGTTTTGCTCCTTTTTCTTTGATTCTTTATTTCGAAGGCATTAGATCCCATCCAAACATGTTTTGACCAGTAAAGACTCTAAAAATACTAAAAAGATTCGATAAAAACTTTTGAAACTTAGTTAGAAATCGGTAAAATTATAATATATCATTAAACAATATAAAAAATGCAAAAAACAAAATCAAGAACTGAAATAACTTGAACCAAACTAGAACCAAACTATTAAGACTTACTTTAAACAAAATGAAATTACAATTATAAACTGAATATATTAATTATATTTAGATCAAAATAACTAAAATACCTAAAAAATCTATAGTTATATTTGTATAAAATTTAACCAAATAATGGAAATACCTAAAAATGTAAAATTTGTTTTGGTTATTTTTCATAAATTTTGAGTATTTAAATTTCGTATAGTTCGGATAGTAAACAAAGAATAGCAAACTAAATTCAGCTGATGTAATTGGTAATGCATTTTGTTGTCAGCTGAAATTCTTGCCAATTTAGCAATTACTCTGCTACTATATAGAAACGGTAAAAGACATTGATTGAATTTGCTTTTATTAATAGTTAAAGAAAGCAACTTTGACATAAAACGTAAAATAAAATTCAGAAAAAGCTTCTCTTTTCATTTTTTATAGATAAATCGAATTCAAATATAAATGTTTTATTATTGTCATATCATGGAATTGTGGACGAGCATGGAATGGCCCAAAGATCCATAAGCTCATCATACTCTTGGGAACAAACATTTGGATTTGAATTCACTTTATCTATAAAAAACAAAAAGGTAAGCTTAAAATTAATATTTTAGATTATTAAATATTTTTCTGTAGACTTCAAAAAAGTAACTAGAACTATTTGAAATCTTAAATTGCCATTGGTTAACAATTACTAAATAGTAATGATTGTAAAAATTAATGCATTGATAACAAAAAATAATATTTTCTTAATTTATGTAAATGAGTCAAAAATATCAACATTTTAAGAACGGAAGAAGTAATATTTTTTTTAGAACTCCAAAGAGGTTCTTAGAGCATCTCTATCCCATAAAGTATCTCTAATAAAAAATATCATTATTTTAACATAATTACATTTTGTAATTAAATCTTAATTGTTTAATTATTTTTTGAACCAATAGATAAGACACAAGTGTGTTTGGGATTTTCATGGGTATCTCAAAATTTCTTATTTGAGAACCTCTCTTCGTTCTTTCTCTTTATTTTTCATTTTTTATTTTTTTTATTCACTCGATACCTTTGTTAGATACTTAGACCATGTGCAATGCAGGATCTAAAGTGAGTATCTAAACATAAAAAAGTATTAAAACTGTGAGAAAGAGAGAGAAAAAGTTAGATGCAGCTCTTATTCAAGAAATTAAGAGACTATTTCTAACAATACTAATATACTTTAAAAGTGTGTGTCATTATACCATTGGTCCAATTATTTTTATATTTAAAAATTAATGTTATAATTAAATTACAGTAATATAATATATGTAATAGCTTTTTAGAAGAGTTTTTCCCATTGAACATGGTCTTACTCATGGGGATGCTCTTAAAAATAAGAATTTATTTGCATATCACAAGATACCCTTAACGGAAAGACTGATTGAATTTGTTTTTATTATTAGATAAAAAGAACAGCTTTGACCTCAAACCTAAAACAAGATTCAGAACAAGCTAGGAAAAACATTGGATTTGAATTCGCTTTGTTTATAAAAATGAAAAGGTAAAATTTTTTATTCAAATGAATGATATTCTTAGTACAAGAAAACAGCTTTCACCTGAACAAGATTCAGAAAAATCTAAGAACAAACTTTTGGATTTGATTTGGTTTTGTCTATAAAGATGAAAGGTAAATCTTTTATTAAGATGAATTGGTACTCCTAATATATATAAAAAACCAACTTTGAGCTAAATAAGATTCAGAAAAATCTAGGAACAAACATTTGGATTTGAATAAGTGTTGTCTATAAAGATGAAACATAAGCTTTTTATTTAGATGAATGAAGCTCTTGATATACAAAAAAAAATCTTTGAGCTAAACAAGATTCAGAAAAATCTAGGAACAAAATTTTGGATTTAATTTCACTTTGTTTATGAAGATAAATGGTAAGCTTTCTATTAAAGTGAATGGTATAATTAATATAAAAAGAAAACATATTTGAGCTAAACAAGATTCGGAAAAATCTATGAACAAACATTAGGATTTGATTTTGCTTTGTTTATGATCGATGAAAGGTAAGCTTTCTATTAAGATGAATGGTATAATTAATATATAAAGAAAACATGTTTAAGCTAAACAAGATTTAGAAAAATCTAAAAAACAAACATTTAGATTTGATTTCGTTTTGTTTATAAAGATGAAAAGTAGGGATTTTATTCAGATGAATGATATTGTTAAGATGAATGATATTTTTTTATATAAGAGAAACCAGCTTTGAACTTAATCAAGATTCAGAAAAAGCTTGGAGCAAACATTTTGAAACAGTTCTGCTCGGTACTGGTGGCTCTTGTGATACTAGCATCTTCAAGCTTGAACACCCTGATCTTACATTCCTTGTCAGCGAAGTAGATTGCATTTTTTTAAACATCCATGGAACTCACCGGCCGAAACCGAGAAACAAGTATCGGTAGCCATCACAAAGGCGTCGTCTCCCAATGACTTAACTTCAACCCATTTCCCCATATCCTCATCCATCTTGTAAACCTTGAAACCGATCGTTTTGGGAGATGTTTCGCCTATCTGGTTCCCATCATCGTCGACAGCGCAAACATAAAAAACATTAGGATCCAAGGTATCACCCTCTTTAAGGATACGATCAACAATGTAAAGCTCTCCACCATGTTGCACGAAGCTTAAGTTTCTGCAATCGCTACCAGTGATGCTTTCATCTAATGGTGGTCCGTACTTGAAGATGGAAAGAGAGGAGCTTATCCACCAAACTGACCCATCCGAAGCCAAGGCGTAAGTTAGCCCTCCGTGGATTACAACGTCGGTGAACTCAGCAAGCTGGTCTTTGAGTATGGTCCAGATTCGACCACTCCAAAACCTGATCCTCCCGTCCCAGCCGACTCCCAAAGCATGATCTCCTCCTTGGACGGTGGCAAGAACCACTCTTTTGAATCCGGGATCTGGTTCGTCCATGCGCCTGTCGTGAACCACGTAGGCTTCTTGAATCTCGGAGACATTGAAACGCAAGAGATTGATGCTCTTGCACCTGTGTTTCAAAGGGATGCGCGAGAAATGGTCGAGAAGACGAAATTTCCCCGAGTTGAGATCGGTGTCGGATTTGATCAGCCACCCTTGGTTCGGCGAGGAGGAGGGAGTGACGCGGAAGAAGGCGGCACCTGAGAGGAACGCGTTTCCTTGTTGGGAGGCATTTTCAGTTGGGTCGAGGAGTTTGAGCTCGATGAGAGGTCGGCTCCGGAAAGGATTGTCGAAAGCGGAGGAGCGCCAAGAACGGCAGACGCTACGGAAACTTTTGAGTTCGATGACGGAGAACAAACAGACGGCGATCATTCCGAGGAGTTCCCTCGGTAACTTTGACCAATCAACCATTTTCTCTCTTACGTTTGTACACATAGTGATAGAGTTACGTAACTAAGAAGGTATTGGGATATACGTTGGATGTTTTTCTGTCCAAGAACTAAGAAGGTATTGATATATATTTTTGGATAAGATTTCCTATATTTTTATAGATTAGTTTAGGGGATATCTTAGCTTCTACATATCTTGTAGATTAGTAGACTCTATTCCTACTTTGTAATATGCATTTATAGCATATCTTATCTATGAATGATAACCATTTTTTCTCTTACGTTTTTACACATAGTGATAGAGTTATGTTGGATGTTTTTCTGTCCAAGCACTAAGAATTGATTTATATTTACACGCTCGAACTTGAAATGGGAAAATATATTTGGATTAGATTTTCAATATATCTATAGATTAGTTTAGGGGATATCTTTGTAGATTATATAGTAGACTCTATCTCTACTTTGTAATACGCATTTATAGCATATCTTTTCCATGAATGATAACGATATCTTTCTAGTTTAGTTAAAAATATTCTAAATCTTTCCATGGTGGTTCCTTTCATAATTCGTACAGAGACATGGCTCGTTCATCTGATGATGCAATGGCTAAAACATCCTAATGCTTCAACATGATACCAACAAATTAACATGTTGCATTTTCTTGTTCAATTGTACCAAAGATGAAGAAGATGAATGATTGGTTTTTATTTTATTTTATTAGATGGTTAATATTTTTGATATAAAGAAAGTTGCCTTGACACTAAAACAAGATTCAGTGCAAAAAAAAAGGAGCAAACATTGCGAAACACCTCCTCGGGTATCTCGTCGTCATTGTCGTGATGCTCCCATCATCAAGCTTAAACACCTTAGTGGTCTCAGGTTCTGCCTCGTCGGAGAAGTAAATGGCGTTTTTCAAACATCCATAAAACTCATCAGCGAAGACCGAGAAACAAGCATCGCTAGCCATCACAAACGCATGATCTCCCAAGGACATAACTTGTACCCATTTCCCCACTTCTTCATCAACCTTGTAAACCTTAAAACCCACCGTCTTGGGATAGAAGCGAGATATTTCCGGTGTTACCCATCTCTCGTCCCCATCATCGTCGTGTATCATTGTGAAACGATAACGACACCAATTACCACTTTTTCTGATCCAGAGGCTATCATCAACGACACGATCTACAACGTATAACTCTCCACCACACTCCACCAAAACCAAGTCTCTACAAGATTCCTTAGTGGCATATTCATCCAGTGAAGGTCCATACCTAAAGATGCCCAGAGAGGAACTAACCCACCAGACATTCCCATGCGAATCCAAGGTGTACGTTAGCCCTCTCTCTCTCTCAACTATGATGTCACAGAATCGAGCTACTTGCTCTTTCATTTTGGTCCAGACGTCTCCGTTCCAATACCTTATCTTCCCGTCGCATCCTACTCCAAGAAGGCGACCATTTGCCGTAACAACCAACCTTTTGAATCCAAAAAGTTGTTCTTTTTTCTTCTTGCGTTGGATTTGAACAACATAGGCATCTTGAATATCGGAGACATTAAGAAGATCGATGGTTAAGCCAAGATGGCTCATCGGGAGGCGCGAGAGAGGGTTGAGAAGACGGAGTCTCCTGTAACCGAGGAGATCACTATCGCATTTCATCAGCCACCCCCGACTCGTCGCAGAGGAGGAGACGCGGAAGAAGGTGGCGCGTGATAGAAATGCGCTCCGGTCGAGGCCGAAGATTTGCTTTGGTTCATTAGGGCCGACATGGATAGTGATGACGAGGGGGTTGAGGTCGATGAGAGGGCGTCTCGGGAAAGGATTGTCGTCCAGGGAAACGGAGGAGCGCCAAGATGTGCAGATGCTACGGAAATGGAGGAAATCAACGAGGAGAACAAACGGAGAGCAATCATCAGGAGGACCTCCGCCGGTAACCTTGACCAATACGCCATCTCTCTCTTTGCTAAGGACTCTCTCTCTTTATTTTGCTGCTTTGTTTGTACCTTTTAGGGAAGAAGCAGATATCACTTATGTAGGAGCCGACCAATCAAAATAAATCAGTTGAATATAATAGAGCAATTTCGTATGGTAATATGTTTATTTGGTTTGAATAATGAATAAATTCAATGCAGAGCATTTGGTTTGAATAAAAATTAGTGAAAATTACTTAAATGACATCGTTTTTTCTCGTTTAAATAAAAAAAGAGTTTACGTAAACATCCTCGGTCTACCTCTCACTACACTGACGATGTTTGGCTATACTATTTTAACAAAACATTTTAAAAGAATCGCAATGAATGCTAGCATAAGGCAATTGAATGTACAACAACATTTTTTTTTTAATTAGTTGGGTAAAATTAATGTTTGGGAAAATTTAATCGATTCTTATTAAAACAAGTTTACACGATGCTTAGAAAATTTGTTTAGATTGTAAATTAATTTTTTTTATTATGTATCAAATAATAATTTTATCATAAAACCTTGTTCATTTTTCGAAGTTTTTAGTTTTTTTTTGTTCTTAGAATCTTTTTTAGTTCTAATTTCTAAAACCATTTTGTTTATAGGTATATGTCAACCTCTAATTTATTTTAAACCAGTAGTAACATATTATTACTAATTTTTAATTTTACATGGATTTTAATTTGGTAACATTAATATTTTATTCTGTTCTGGAAAACATCAATGAAAAAAACAAAAAGTTAAAAACTCTATCGAGCAAAGACTGATAATTCTTAAAAAAAAAAATCTTGCTCATTTTTCCTTTTCGACATACTTACAGAAAAAAATAGTGTATTAACAAAAGATTAGGGTGACAACATAGAGTTACAACAAATCAATCCGCAAAGATATTTTTAAAATTGAATTATTTAAATAAGTTATAGATAATCGGAGATTTCAATCTCGATTTGATGGACAAGAAAAAACTTATTTCTTGGATTTTGACTTGATTTATTATCAATATTATTAAAACCCCACATATATTCAGATCATAATCATATTATTAATTGGCTAGCAAGTTGGGCTGTAGTTGAGAGTTATGATGGTTGATTACTTTTTATCCCTTATATGAAAATACTTTATTTACCCTTAATGAAATTAACTAATTAATAAATCTAATTTTTAATTAATTTTTGTTTTTTTAATCAAATTTTCTAAATTTAAGTTTATATCATAAAAATATTCAGTTTACTAAAAAAAGTAACTAACATAAATCACAAAAACATTGAACCTAAATATTTTTTAAACTAATTTTAATTTGATTGCTTCGCTTACTAATATTTTTGACTAACCTAATTGATTTATGCGGCCACAAATAAAACTCTAAATCCTTTAAACCCTTTTGAAACTCTATATATATTAAAACAAAGTTAATAAAATAATCTAGATCAATCGGCAGTCATACGTCTCTCTTTACAACTTTCGTTTTAGGTGTCTAATCTCTTTCAAAAAACCAGCCATGGAACATTCGAAGTTACGGTTTTATTGAAGGTTTTATTAGAGAAGAAATGGTTACTTTGATTCTAGATATTGGTTCTACTTTTCGATTTGATTGAATGTGGTTTTGATTTGTGCGTGTGAGAAGAATTGGGACAGATAACTCATACCAAGCAAGGGACTTTTCGTTGACATTGAAAAAAAGATTTTACTTGGAGCTATTATCACCAACAGAAGCTGCAGCAAGGGCCAAAGATTTTACATTCGGAACGATCTTCATTTGAGAACATCGTATCTCCGTGTTGATCTTTAATACCATTATATCCAAAAGGTTTAATGAAGAGAAATAAAGTCTCAAAGAACTCATCGGCAAGCTCTTCCAAACCATCGCCAACATAGGTTTTTTTTCTTCTTTAGATTTTTGTTTTCTCTTGGTTTCTTAGCAAATAAGTTAGAGTTTTTTAATGCATAAAATTCTTTCTAATGTTTAGATTGATTTAAGATTTTTTTTTTCTTGTGTGAAAACTGGACTATGCGGCAAGGTTAAAGAGCAGCCCAAATGCTGAAAAGTATTACTTATAGACAGAGTCACATAAACGGTCTTAGAGTTTGAACAATGTTCTTGCCAAGCTTGGTTAAAGAACCAATATTTTCTTTGTAAGGTATTGTTGTAATGCTATTATTATTGTTATTCAAGTACTCTATCTTTTTTCCTCCTTCAAATCGAGTATTTCTAATTTCAGTTTTAAGTTTTAACCAAAAATTGATATATTATCTATGTTTGTCTTAAATTTTAAATATAGAATTGAAATAAATTTTTGGTTTTGCTCTTGGCCATTCGACCTTTCATAATGTCTCTTTTGAACTTTATCATCAAAGAGTTTTTACCTTATCTTTTTCTCTGAGGGGGACATATATGTTTGCACAAAGTAACCAAAATGCTGACGTAAATAGTCAAGTATGCATGGGTTCCCACTAAATGTGTTAAGTGTGAACAATTGGGACATAAGGCTTGATGTCTACAACGATCTCCGGGTCCCAAGGTAATAGTCCTAGGTAAGACTAACCCTCCATGTAAATTGAGATCGGTCGCAGGTCCGAATATGATTCATAATTCACCGATCTCTTATTCTACTACCCATAACCATGCATTTGATCCTCAAACATATCTTTCTCCCAATCCAAGACACAGTTAAACATACTGCAGTGGACATTATTGATGATTTGATTTGGTTCAAAAATCCATTGCATGTTATGTGTGGTGGTGAAGTTTACTACCTAATTTCCGAGATCTTCATAGGCGATTACAAGCAATAGAAGTGGAGAATATTTGACGATGGAAATGTTGAGTATAAGAAGGAGGAGGTTGTGTGTTCCCTGGAGTACCCATACCTCTTCTTGGATTCGGCCTTAAGATTATGTTTCTTCTAGCTCTGGTTCCTTTCTCCTCAAGGCAAGACTTGAAACAAAAATCCAAGTCTTAAGATTCGCGAATCTTCAAGGCAGAAGAAACTTACATGCAAACTGTTATAGAGAGAAGGAGAAGAAATTCATCCAAATTACTGAAGATGTTGGTGCTTGGCTTACAAAGCTTCACAACGCCAAATAACCCTAAAATTATAGAGAGCCAGCCAATCAATATGTCGAAGAATCAAAGATAAAGAATTGATGATAACATGTTCATAATGTTTGAGTCAGGGTTCGTTTAAATTAAGGTCAATTTGGTTTAATCACATATATATCTATGCAAATATAACATCACAAAAATATGATTTGAGCTCTCATGTGAAAAATCTTTATGCTCTAATTGGATAGCTATGTTTTTTTTATGCAAACTTTGAATTTTATTAATCTTAATCTGCCCATTTACACCAAAAGAAGAGAATTATTCATCATGTTTAATAAATGCAATAAAACAACAAAGTATACATATAATTTTTTATTGTATAATATGAAAAATATTAGAAAAAGATATAAATAATATGTTTTATTTTGTTACAAAAATAATATATTCATGAAAATTATATTTTTTTAAATATATTAATATTGTTTTTAAATAATTATAAAACTGATTTTTTCATTTATAAATAAATTAATCGAACCACGCACCTTGTGCGGGGAAACACCTAGTATACTATTAAATGTTATGAATAATTTACTAGATTAGGACCTGGATATTTATAATATCAAAAATTTAAACTTTTTAAAATAGTTTTTTTAAATAGAAAATAAAATCGAATTACTGATAATAAAATATATATTAAAAACAAAAAATCCAAATCTAAAAAATATTTATTTTAATTCTCAGTTGTTTTCAATTAAAATATTCAAAAATAAAATCTGTTGCAGATCCTAATGAACATTAACCCTACTTATTTTCTAATTTTAACACTTTATCGGCTATTTTTCTATTTTGTTGGGTTTAAAACTTAGATATGCAATCGAGTCCTTCAGATATATTAACCCTCTCCCCATTAAATCTTTTCAAGCAAACAAAATTTCTCTTTTTCTTCACATTTATCTCCCATATATGATCTTTATGCTTTTTAAATAACTTATGCTTCACAAAATTCGTATCAAAAGCTTCTCTACATGATTTATGTTGATCCTTCTCCTTATTAAACTCATCATCATCCAATGCCATATCATTAGCATCTATGGCTTTCTTTTATTGTAATCCTAAGTTCCCAATTTTGCATGTAAGATCTTTTGGAATTATCTAATTATTTAATATCTAAAATGCTTTAGATGAGTACAATATTTAGCAAACAAATCATAAAGGATAAAAATTTGGAATATCGAACGAATTCTAATGGATAAAAATTTGGAATACTGTCTAAAGTGTATTAATAATAATAATACAATAAAAGAAGGAATCTTATACCTATATAACAAAGCTCAAGAAATATTTTTTTTTGGTGAAAAATTATGAGAGATTTTATGTGTTTATATAGATGGGTAGTATTTTCTTTTTTCTTATAAGATTAGTGTTTTAGATTATTTACCTTTTCAAAATTGAAATATTTCTTTGTATTATTTATAATAATAAAAGAAAAAAAGGAAAATTATACCTATAGAACAAGCTCCCGAAATATTTTTTTTGTGGTGAAAAATTATGAGAGATTTTATGTGTTTATATAGATGGGTAGTGTTTTCTTTTTTTCTTTTAAGATTAGTGTTTTAGCTTATTTAACTTTTCCCAATTGAAATATTTATTTTTATTAAATTATTTTTTTATTTTCTTTTTCAAATAGTAATTTTGTTCTTCTTTTAGAATTATTTTTAGGTTATTTTTTTTTCCAAACTGAAATATATCTTTTTATTATCTTTGTTTTTTTTTAATTTTAATTAAGATACATGTCAAAACCTAAATAGAATGACTTGCCAGATGTCAAAATCATGTGAATTACTAACTTTGATACATTCAACTTTATATAACAAGATTATGATTGTTTGATTTAGCGTAACCAGCATAACTAGTCATAAATTATTTGGGATAGTCTTGTAATTTCTATTTAATAGGTTAGTTTTCAAAATACATTAATTTTTATAAATGTTTCTACAAATTTCCTCTTTTCTATGCTATTTAAATTAATAAATATCATCTACATAAAATGACTGTTTTTTTGTCTGTTCTCATTCTTATGCTAATCACATCATCAGCCAAACTAATCATCAAAGAGATTAAATTTGGCAGATGATAGGCTCGGAAAATGACATGCCACTTTTAACCAATCACAAGGGTCTAAGGGAGACATATGTGTCGTTTCTTATTCTAGCAATTCGACTAAGACAAAACTGTTAATATTGGGTATTGCTCTCCAAATTCCGAACCAAATAACATAATTTGGACATAGGCAGAACTAAGGTCTTAAACACTAACTTTATCAAAGTAGAGTCAATGCAAGATAATGAAAAAAGAGTTAAGAAGTGTAGTGGTTCTCTTGGTTTGCATTATTAAAGGATCACTTCTCAATTGTTCTTTTTGATTTTTTTTTTATACGGCTAACTTCTAAATATTGTTCTCAGAAAATAAAAAAGCAAAAACAAAATA